ACACCAACATCATTCCACCAGTAACCGGCTGTCCTACGTGTCTGCTTGCATTCGCACTGTGTGTGTTCTCGCTTTCCGTGACCCCAAAATTCACCCAACAATCGTTATTACCGGCCCCCCTTGTGTCGATCTCGTTTTGGAACGACTAAGAAGGCTGTCAGTTCAGACCTTTGTCGCTTGATCCACACGGGTTTCCACGACCTCGACCGCGGCAGTCAACTATCGCCAAAAGCTGTTTGTTTATGTTCACTTCATGAATTATCCATATTTTCACCTGACATTCGGCCCAATTCGATGGCAGCAACCCTCTCCCACGATCAACCCACCCATCCCTCATCGCCCGCACCCCTACCAACCAGAACAACCCGCATTTTCTTTGTGGTGCTGGAGGAGGAGGTGAGTAAGTAGGCACAACGATGTTCCACGGACTGTGATATCGATCGATTTGGAAAGGACATGAAAATCGCCGGAAAACGTCATCATTCTCGCCCTCCTGGAAGCGGTGTCTCAGAAAGTTCCTTTTCTTCCACTCATCCGGACCCTGTGCTTTTATAAAAATAAAAATTTTACAAAAAATTACAAAAAGTATCGCCCACATCGGTTTGCTGGATTTTTGCAATTTCTTTGTGCTATATTCTTCAAAAAAATTCATAGAATTATGGCTAACTAGTAATTTTTGATTTTTTTAAAGCAATTTTTATTTCGTCTACCTCCTAATTCTTCGCAGTCAGATTTACCTGAAATACTACTCTTTTGCTGACTTCTTCTTTTGGATTTCTTGGGTGCTTCCCTTTTTTTTTACTTTCGGTATACCTATTAACAATATTAGCATTGAGTTAGTAAAGTATGTATTCGTTACTGCCGTCATTACTAAGGTTTTTTTTTGGTTCGTAAAAGTATTTTTCTTAGAGGCTAAAGTTGATCCAAAATAGAAAATTATCAAATTAATTCACAGAAGTCATCGAATTCGATGAAAATTACTCCCGTTTCCTTTGCTGTCGGTAGATTTGAATTTTTAATGATTTCCAATTTCCTATACAATTGATTGTCCTGATTCAATGCTACGTCATTCCTTTGCTTCAATCTCATTCTTTTCGATCTCTGCTTCTTTGCTACTCTATCTTTCTCTGCGTCTCTGACTCCTTCCAACTTCTGAATGTCGTCGTTCTTGTTTGCCGTTTTTTCGTCTATTGCTTGACAGGTTTCAGGATGGCGACTGACGTCGCTGCCTCCATGCAGCAGGTAGACGGCCTCATCGCTCATCTTGACAGGTATATACCCTTTTATGTCGATCGATTTATATTTTTATTATATCGATTATGTTTTCGTTTATTCATGTTGCTATAATAATGTCAATGAAACCCACCACTCCAGTTTACATCTGCTGGTTCCATACGAGATCTATACCTAAGCCTAAGAAGTCAGAACCTTTTCTGTTGTTATGCAGTAATTTTTTTTGTTAGCTGACACTTAACTTTGCTCTGTTACCGTAAGATACAAGTAAAAATTTACTGGTTTTTGGAGCACACTCTGCTGCCAAAATCGTTCCTCTTCCGTGCCTAAGCCCTTTTTGTCATGAATTTTTAGGCTGAGAAAATGGGCTTCCAAATAATTTGGAATGGATTTTTGAGAGTTCTGATGGGACTGAGGTGAAAATGGGTTTCTCTGGTAGGAATGGCGTTCATGATGCGACGAGGATTCTGAGCATTTACGGCAGCTCATCTTTACATCATAATGACCCCGTATAGGAGTAATCTCAACCCTGGAACGGGTCCTTTCGAATTGCCCAATGAGGCAGAAGGCTCACTCCAAATCAGTTCTTTGGACCATGTTACGGTATTGACCTGCGGTTGGCGTCGTTCGTTCATTTGGCCCAGGTTTCCCACCGACTTTGCCCATTGCGCTAAATCTTTGTAGCACATCTCTTTCTTTCGTCTACAAAATTGACGCACTGAATATAATAAGCTGAACATTATCTTGTACGACGATCAAGATCGTCCCAGATCAGTTCAGCCGTGATGTTACGTGCAGACAAATGTCGAACGGTCCGTCCGTACCCGTCAGTGTCGCTTCTTCTCTGAACTGTCCTTTCAACTATGAACAATGGTGTCGAAGTGGTAAACACCCCAGTTGGGTTTTAAATGTTTCCCAGCTCAAGAAACTGGCTGCAGTTGATCCGGTCCGCAAGTAATCAAGCAACAAAAATCTCTGGAATCGGATCACGGGACCCGGCCAACTTTCCACCTTCCTCCATGGGTTATAAAGTAGTGAGCTGCTTGAGGTGTAAACTTTTTGTAAACCAAGGCAGGGTCTACATCGTTCATAGACTCCTGTACGTTGTTGTACAGGTCAGGTGAATTTATTTGCTTCTACGGTTCTATGGTTTTGGAGATGATCGGGTTCCTGTAATATAAGTTCGAGTTTGGACAGAGACGAGCATATTTCTTTCTGGTTAAAAAAAGTGACTGCGATGACTACTCGTTTAGCGAACATCTACTTCTTACTGATCGTGCAACACCAGAGTAATAGTAGTCCTTCACTGTATCAGGGAATTCAGTCATGTACTGTTCAAACGGGTGAAGTGGGGAACAAGGAATCTAATCTACTTTTGGTAGTCGTCCAATCTATAATATGCGATTCAGAAAGGCCTTCTACAATGGAAATTACAGGCCAAAGTATTTTGCGAGGGAGGTTATCTTCCATCAATGACATGAAGCTCAAGCAGACTGCTATGGTTTAGAAAGGGTCTGAACCGGGGTGTGATGCAAAAGGAACGAAAATGTCGCGTTGCGGCGAGGGTGACGTCGCGCGTGAAGGAATGTAGCAGAGTGCATCAGCAAGTAAGAAATTCAGGAACAAAAGAACTAACAGTAGAATCATGCCATAAGTAATAATCGCATAGCGATTGAGCTGTGTGAAGAACGCTAGAACTGTCATAATGAGGCAAATGGTCCGCGATAGCCGCGTGCGGCGGATCGATTGCGCGAAACCATTCCTACTGCCCGTCTCCCGTCCGAACCGCACTGCTCATGTCCATGTTCAGTCGATCAATAGTCGGACTACGAAAGGAAGCGTGTCGAAAAAATCGTACACATTATAATGCGGCGCGTCACTTGTTGGACTATTCTCAATCTATTCACGGGAATAGAAGAAAATATGCACGCCATTGAATGCCGGGTTCGAAACGGTTTTTGCATGTACAACAAAGAATGTGTGTACTAAAATTATGAGGCTGTTAACCAGTTGGATTTGAAATTACAGCTGTGTTGGTAATTCCTTTAGAAGGTGTCAACTCTTTTAATTGGTTTTTGAAATGTCAAGAGAATTATCGATTGAGTTAAACTATGATGAGATGAGCTGCAAGGTCATACCGATGTGTTTTTCGGTGAAGCATCATTTTTATGAGTTCGTGGAGTGTTTACTCGAATTATTTATGCTTTGGATAACACCTACCGTATCGTCGCTCATCTTCATGGGTATAGTAACCCCTCATTCCCATGGGGACACGTCATACTGTTTCATGAGCTGGTGCGGATAGAATGGTGCAACTCAGCGCAACCGGTTCTGTAGAATCATATCATTTTTCTTTTTTTCAAGAAAAAAAAAGAAATCGTTGTCATGGAATTCCCGAGCAAAATATGAAAATAATAACAAAAATGACTTGAATATAGCACTATTTTGAAAACCTAAAATATTGATGCTCTCTTTTAGCATTTTTTATTCAGGACATAATTTTGAATGAATAATAATAGAACAATTTGAATAATAAAATAATAAGCAAGCAAAGGATAGAATATTCTAACGCCAGCCCCAAACATTTTTATACGGTAATTGTAATGAGACAATGATATCATAAAATGGATGGTTTATTGCTATGAAGGACCTGTCATACCCACTTTTTTGGAATTGAATGTCCAGAAATCGATTTTAATCTATTCGCATTTTTCTTTTTCAAAAGGGCCGATAAACGCTGCTAACCTCTGAAATATATTATCTCGAAAATTCGACCAAAACATTTTTGAATTTACATTCATATTGCACAAAGCGATATCTGCTTCATTGTTACTGCTATTGCGAAATGTAACCAGTCAATTAGTCAAATATTAGTTTTTTGCCATTCGTACCCTTTTGCATAAAACTACTCTTCTGTTTAATTTGTCAAAAACTTTCTAGAAAATGGCCTCATTTCTTTCAGAATAACCCCAAAAACCTTCCTTTTCGCAAAGTCTTTGGATTTTTTTGCATGAATTCATCAGTGGGAAGAGGTGCCATATTTCACTAGGTACGGTAATTTAGTAAGTTTTCTTTAGAAGTCTATTTCACTGAAGGTAATCGGCTACTGTGGTCCCCTTTAATGGAGTAAACAAAAATATAAGCCTTTTGGTCTGATCAATCGCGTATCAGCATAGGGCGCACCCGCCCATTCGACCGTAACTTGGATTTAGGATGACGCTGGAGCCTGAAAACGGAATATATTAGGTTGGAGGATAAGTCTCGCAACACTTAAGACGAGTTCTCAAGCTTTATGGTTTTTGTTTTATTAATAATTATTTTGTGAATTATTTTGTAATTTTGTAATGTAATATTGTTTGTTTTTTTCTTGAGGAATGTGTTCGAAGTGTTGCAAGACTTATTTCCCACCCTATACTAAAAGTTGGCTACCTTTTTTATAATTGGTATCACCAACCTTCCAGATAAGTAAGGCAGAACCTATTCCTAACCAGTGAAAAGTCTACTACATGAATCCTGCTGAACTTTTATTAGTTAGCCTGGGTAGATTCTAATGATTATTTGATCCAGAGACCACCTCTTGAGAAGTCACGCCCTCTGCGGTTGCCCCACCCCCCTCCCCCCACTTTATTAGACATATTATGAAAATTTGAGGAAAAATCAAATATTTTTTCTGTGACAAACAATCCGGTCCTTTTTAACCATCCAATTCACTTGGAGATTACATACTACTATCTGCAACAATTTCATAATGTAATGTAGCCGACCGGTTCCTCTCTATTCATTGCTTATTCATATATACATAATTGCAAATAGATTCGATAATTAATTCAATAAATTGCTTCCAATAAAAGAAAACAAAGGAAGAATGTATGGGAACAGAGAATATGTGATTACATAATTATCGATGAATCGAATTTAATTAAGATTCTGTAAAATATTCTATATTAATGTAATAGTAATAAAATTTTCAACAACGTAAACGGCAATGCCGAAGATAAAACAACAGGGAAGTTGGTGGCTGTAAAATTAAATAAAATAATAAAAAAGTGAATAAAAATAAAATAAAGACTATACTACTTGGACTAAGAGGCTTTCCTCTGAATATTACTATCTAGACTTCATCAGGCGGTATTCTCGCTTTGTGTCAGACCGAAACAGGGTTTAGACAAGTATATGGTATACTATGGTATACACTATGTTATACTTACTATGTAGGTTGTTGAGTAATTTGCTCAAGTTACCTCAAATTCAAAAGTGCGGGCCAGAAATTCTGATAGCTTTTTCCATGGGAACTGAAGGGTTGAGACAAAATTGGGGAGTTCAATCGTGGTGGCGTTTCCAACAGGCACGAAAATTCAGTCCGGCACTCGGCTCTTACAGTAATCCGGCACGTGTTAACACGTGAATTTTTACCCGTCACATATACGGCGCGTCGAAAAGAGGCTCTGGGCAAGGACACGGGGGTGGGCGGTAGGGTAAGCCAGGGGGTTACTGTAAGAGCCGAGTGCCGGACTGGCTGTTGGAAATCTGTAGCAAGGGAAACCATAAGGAAAAGGAATAAACTTCTCCAAAAATCTCGAAAAATTATAAGTGTCAGTAGTGATAATGGTACAATTGTTCGAAATTCGTAAGATCGTATAATTGGAAGCGAGGTGAGCTTGAGCAACTCTTGAAGATAGTGTATTTTGTCCTTTGAATAGGAAGCCACATTTAGAGATGGGAGACGTTCTTACTTACAATGTAGTCGCTTCACAAATTTCTCCAAAAATTTATTTTTTCGAATTCGATAATGTTAAATTGTGTCCAGCTGAAGCTATTCGAGAGTGTAATCGAGTGGAATGTCGTTTTGAGATCAAAATCATAGTTCTCTTCGAGAATTCTGATTATCCTTACTCTTTTATTCTTAGTCAGCGCTGATTGACGAAAAACTTTAATTTTTGCCTAGGTCCTATTTTTGTGGAATCTTGAATGGCTCAGCAGTCAGAGGTTCGTCAGTGCGCTTGCACGCCCTCGAAAGAACGGCCCTCACC